CTAAGCTGACTATATACTGTACGAGATAGGAGCTATGCCTAATGAGTGAATAGTGCAGTACATGGGTATGATATCGCGTGAGACACGTGCGACAAATTTCTCGGAGAATATGGATGCCGCGAAACTGGAGATGAAATGTCCGGGAACCATTCAGCTTCCGGTGATGTATTCTCTGTCCGGGGTAGTCCCTCGCTTATTTATATCACTCCCTCTTAGAATGTCGTGTAGGAGGCTCAAGTAAAATTGCACATGCATATAATATTTAAGCTTGAATTACGACTCTATCTACACAGCAAGCGATTAGAGGTATCGTGTGGTAATGTAAGCTTGGTTGGTGCAGTGGAAGTATGTTGTTGTATTGTTGGTGTATTGATGGAGCCTCGAGGGGAGCCATAGGGGTACAGGCACTAGTAGATAGTGGCTTGGCCTGGTTACAGATAAAAATGAACATTGTAAAGCAAGAAAGTTTGCCTAATAAAACTAGTTAAGATACATTATAGCTTAAATGTGAAGCGTCCAGTGAAGCTTCTAGTAGGCGCAGAGATGAGGAAATGAGTTGGTTGCTAAAGGAGTGTACCAAATGGTCTATATATGCAAAGGAGTGGGCTAGGCAGCAAGCAAATACAATAGGCGGCAGTGGTTTCATAGTAGTGGAGCCCGGAGAGCTCCGTAACTGCAAACATTGGACTATTTTCCCTTAGACGCTGTAGAATGAAGTATGAAGCGTAGCGCAGCGCAAAGCCTCTTCAGCAATCGGTACTGCCTATTATCGTCACTCAGTGTAATCTCCAGAGTGTGTTTATACAGTTACTCGCCGCTAACGAAGTGAAATAGATTTCAGTCTCCTACTACTTCGTCTTCGCCCAAGCGAGGACAGTAGCATTATTGAATACTAGTTCTTCGATTACTTCTTGCCACACACTGATATGGGGGATCATCTCTATGAAGCTTTATGTGAAGCTATGTGAAGCACCAGAGGCATGAGGAACTGGATTCCATTGCTAAAGGAGGGCAACTACGGGTTTATATTGTGCTAGATGAACCCATCATGTGACTTAAGGCCACCAATAGCTCTAGGCTGCAGCAGGTGGCGTGGCTAGGCAGCAGTAGGCCAAAGGAGTGTAGGTGGCTAGCGCATGGAGAGCTCCGTAACTGCAAACACTTTATCTTACGCATGGGGAAATCCTCACAAGAGTTATCAATTTACTTGGACACCTGTATCTTTCAGGTCACAAAAAATCTTCATGGAGCATTGTCTTGCCTTAGAAATCGGCACCTAGAACGAATTGTCTGGATAGATGCGATTTGTATAAACCAAGAGGACTTGAAAGAGCGAGAGAACCAGGTTGGACACA